GGGAAAATGTGGATTATATCACAAGAAGAGCAAAAATTAAGAAACATAATGCAATTACTTATTCAGAGATGTAGGTTTTATTGAGGACAGAGATATGCAGACAAGAACCAACACCAATTTAAACATTAAAGAATACAAGAGGAAAAACAGGCAATACCTGTAAGGACTTTTCTAGCAGTTCACTGATCTCGTTCATGTCAGTGCCCACTGCTGTGAGGTGCTCTGCTTGTCGATAATAATTTATTCCAATATCACACCATATGCTGGGCAAAGACATCAGTTTTAAGGCTCTGCCGTAACACCTACAGAAACATGAATCACAGAAGCATTATTCCAAGCCTCTCTACATAAAGAGCAAAAAGCTGGAAAAAAACATTCAAAAGAGTGCTTGAAAACCTGAACCAAGCAAACATGCATAAATACAAACAAAACCTGAGAAGAATGGAAAGCAAACAACAACTAACCAATTTTCATTCAGGCAGTTATCTTCACAGAATCTATCCTGGTCTAAAGGCAGTCTACAGTGCTCACCACTTGTGAAGCCACAGATGTGCATTAAAATCAAAGCTGTGTCAGCTGCAATACGCATGCTTTTACTTAAAACCAACATCAGACATTTTCACAGTTAACTGGACTTCACCAAGGAAGTATCTGACTCCACATATCACGGTTGATATTTACTAAGCAGCTGCATTTTCTTCCTTACACATCCATCTGCACAAAGCTCAGGGGGAGTCACAGAAGAGGCTACAGAAATACGACAAATATTTTCTACCATCATGAGCTTCTAGGGCCTGAAACAAGGAATTCCCTCTTCCAATGTACACTAGACCCCACACGTAGGGGAAGAATTGATGACATTTTTATAAGAAATAAGTACAAACAGAAAGCTTGAAGTATTATCTCGGACTTCAGTAGTGCTGGGAGAATGAGGTAGCAACTACTGCAACCACTCCATTTCAAGAGGAGCAATTTGTTGCATGACAGGCAGGATGTAGCCACACCCTGGAGACAGACAAAAGGTGATGAGCAGGTGCCAGATGAAGTGCTGACATAGAATTATAGAATGGGACACCTTCCACTAGACCAGGTTGCTCAAAGCCACATCCAGCCTGGCCTTGAACACTTCCAGGGATGGGGCATCCACAGCTTCTCTGGGCAACCTGTTCCAGTGCCTCACCACCCTCTCTGGGAAGAATTTCTTCCTGAGGTAGAGCTCTTGATAATGAAAAATTATTACCTTCCTCCCAGTCTGAGCAGCTCAAGTTTCTTCAGCATCTGTTTGTCTGCATTTTCACCCAGAAGGGATCCTAGAACTTGAATGTTCACTTTGGCTGGTGAAATAACATGCACACTAGTACAGGTATCTCCAAGCAGTTTCCAGAGGCAAGACACATCAGGACGGTGCTTTGTGGCCCTGAAATTAGTAACACAAAAAACCAATCGAACACCCATTCAGACACTTCAATATCCTTTTCTGAAAGAAAGTTCACCACTCTGAACAGTGGCACAGACTCGTATGTAATTAATCAATCTTTTTGATTTTTTTTTTAAATTCAGTTTTCTTCCGATTCAAGCTATACATCTAAAATCACAGAATCACACAATGGTTTG